AAAATTTGATTTAATTGATTGATACGTTAATTCAATAATTTTTATTAAATCATATTTATGTACTAAATTATATCAAATTTTTAAATTCCAAACTCTTTGGAAAAGAAACGTATCAATCAATTGATACGTTTACGTTGGAAAAGAAAACGTCGAATCAAAACCAAATAGTAAAAAGGAAAAGATGTAGAGGTGGAGCTGGAGCTGGAGCCGCGTCTCCGTCGACGACGAACCAGCGACCGAGAGAGGGAGAGGGAGAGAGGGAGAGGGAGAGAGAGAGAGAGAGGAGGGGGAAGACAGAGACTGGATCTTGTCTCTAAAGAGTTGCTATTGCGTGTGGAAAAAAGCGCCTACTCCTTGGGCTTCTGCATCTCTGCGATGAAGATGAAGAAAAAGATAGTGAAGAACAACTATCAGGGCTTTTGGTCTGGATGCTTTTTTGGTATGTGTCTAAGTGCTAATTCTTCATCTATTTATGTAATGGAGAAAAGGGAAAAATTGACTGATTTAGGGTTAATTTTCTATTACATCTCCTTTGCCTTTTTTTTTTTGGGGGGGGGGGGGCATTTTCTCTGCTGGTTTGTGCTATAAAAGTTTGTTTTCACTTAGTCGATTCTGTTGGAATGAATCTGTACGAATAGCTGCCTCGCCCGAGTTGTACCGATTTTGGCCGAGACGGAACCGATTTAGGTTCGATTTGGGATTTTTTCGATGCGGGTATCATTATCGTCGCTCATGGCCGAGGTGGATACGACTCAGTTGAGTCATATCGGTATGGTTGATACCTTGAACCGTGGACTACAAAGAAGAAAAAGGGAAAAAGATCTCAAATAAAAAAGAAGACTAAAAAGCAGATGAAGAAGAAAAAGTAGAACGAGGAGACTACAAAGAAAAAGATAATGTTTGAAAAGGAGATTACAAAAGAAGAATAAAAAAGATTGCATAGAAAAAGAAGAATAAGGCTAAAGGACGATGAAGAAGAAGAAGAAGAATGTTATAAAGAGGAAAATTGCAAAGAAGAATAAGAAGGCTGAGAAAAGAAGAGGACAAAATAGAAGAAGACGACTACAAAGAAAAAAATGAATATTACAAGAACAAAATGTGAAGAATACTGCACAAAAAAAATGATGAAGAAAAAAATAGAATGAGAAGACCGCTAAGAAGAAAAGGGAAGAAGACTGAAAAGAAGATGGAAGGAGAAAAAGTAGAACAAGAAGAAAAAGGAGAACATAAAAATTAAAAACTACGAAGAAGGAGATACCGATTGAAAAGGAGACTACAAAAGAAGAATAAAATAGACAACATAGAGAAGAAGGCTAACAAAAAGTAGAATATTACAAAAAGAAGAATTAAGGCGAAAAAAAAGATGAAGAAGAAGAACGAGAAGACTATTAAGAAGAAAAATATTACAGAGAGGAAGAATGTAAAGAAGAAAATTACGAAGAAAAAGAAAAATATTACAAGGAGACAGTCTACATTGAAAAGAATATATAAAATAATAAAAGAAGGTTAAAAAGAAGAAGACGACTACAAAAAAGACAAGATTAAGTCTTCTTTGTTCTTCTTCAAAGTAGACTACAAAAAAATGAAGATTCTTTTTAGGATAATCATATTTTGGGTGTAAAAAAATATGAATTAAAAGCCCATGATTTCTAATAAATCAAATTAGTTCCACTAAGAAAAGCCTAACAAAAATACCATAAAATCAGGGTGAGCTTCACAGAAATTGAACAACATTGGAACAGAAAAACATAGTTGCCTTTTCTTTTTGTATTTGCTTTGTAGTTGAGCTCTTGATTCTGTAGGTTAGTAATTAATGATTTAGGTTTGTAGGAGGGGTGTAACTTAGCACGTGAATTAGTTTTTAATAAATAGGGTGACGATGAGATTCGAATACAGAACCTCTTGTTTTGATACCAAGTTAAACAACCATTTATTCTAAAAGTTTAAGCTATTGAAGAGGGTATAAATTAAGTATTTATACTTCAACATGATTAAATGATAGAATCTTCAGTGAGTCAAAAACAAGCACCCAACCTAAGAAAGATGCTTGTTGAGTAAGGCTGGCTTTCTTCGCAGGTTTTGGCGCATCTATCTCATACTCCCCAAGTCTAGATGAATCAAATTTTCTAGGCTTTTCTGATACTAGGTGATCATTTAGGCCTTTGCCTCTCAAACAGACTTCAACAAATCTAGCCCAATAAATAGAATTCTTTTTATTGAACTTAACAGAAGCGAGAAGCTCACCAGCAGAACATAATCGTAAATGAGCACTCTTGATTGGATCCATCTTTCTTATAATCATGTTAACAATTGCAGCGGCTAAAGCAACAACCGGATAGTAAGGCCAAGAGCGGGTGGTTGGGAAAAGGGTAAGGAACTAACTCTCTCTAACTTCATATTCTGTTTTTGTTGTGTGAGGGGATGAAATCTTTACTTCTTTCTTCTCAAAGGATGGGGTTCTATTATCAGCTTGATGGATTGTACAGGTTGTTCCATTTCTTGTCTATACTTCAATTGTGTTTTGAATCTGACATCACGTTTAGCCTCTTTTAACATTGGTAGCCTTTGAAATATTTTGCATCTCTCAAATGCACTTGGCTGGCAAAATTTTGGATCATTGAGCTTTTCTTTGCAATATCAACAAATAAAAAAACCAGGTTAAGTGATAATTAGATGCATTTCTATTCATTTGACATTTCCTGCCTTAATCGCTGCCGTTACTTATATATCTAATAATAACCTGATAATGGCATATATTGTGTGCTGAAGGATCTTTTTTGCTAATCAAATTCCAGAGAAGAACCACATTCCCTTTTTGACGCTGCTTACTAGGTATTACCACGTAGTCAAAAATTGTTTTGTGGACGAAAAGAGGAAAAGCAACTCCTTTTCGCTGTTAAACATTGTCAATAGGGGATTTCCAGTGTAAGTGCTCTTATTTGGGTTCAATTTAAGGTAGTCTATCCCTCTTCTCTGCTCTCCTGTCCTCTAAGAACCTTAATGTATTTTTGGTCTCTGTTTCTTTTGGTTCTGGATTTTGCTGCACTTTAAGTTGTTTTAGTGTAGTTCTTTTGCTTATTACTTTTTACCACTAAGCTATTGTACCAAGACACCTTGTGTTGTTATGTTCATTAGCACTGCCTTCTGGTTTATTTTACTATGCTCAAATGCAATTTCACACACTTTCATCTGTTTCTTGCTATATTGCAACATTATACTGCATCATTTATATGAATTCTGGTCTGTAGAACTAAAGGTGGATGAGCATGCTGTTAGGGGCTTTGGAGGTTTTTTTTTTTTTTTTTTTTTTTCGGGGTATTTACTTGTGTGATTTTTAGACATTCTCTTTATATGCAAGTTACTTGCCATTGTTTGTGTTTTTTTTCAACTTTTTTTTTTTTTTGTGAAGATGGGAGTTCTAGTGAGATTAAGAAACGTAATATATGCTATGATAGTAAGCAAATTAACATAATTTATGGAATAGTCATCGGAAGCAACCCCAGAGGCAGTGTAGTAAGAGTCATAGACAGTTCTATTCTGACTTGTGCAGTGAATTCAATCAAACTAATGGATTAATGCTTATCCACACGGGAAACCACTGAATATATTTCTTCCTTAGATCTTATGCATTGTTGTTGGTCAAAAAAAAAAATTTTCGTTTTTTACAAAGTGCTAGAACAATCATCTGCATCGCCTTTTAAAATAAAGACCCCAATTTAGAATAGTTAAAATTGTTTCTCAAAGTACTTTTTTAGTACACTACTCTTACCACACATGTTAGAATGTTGAATTCCATCATCTTTGGTGTTATGCAAGTGACTGCCATCAGTGTTGGGGTTGCTCTCTAGTGTATAAATTGTAATGCTAATTGATAATCCTAGTTTATCTTTGAATTCATTTTTTGTGTTATTATGAGATTCATTTATGCTGTTGCAATAGTTGAGAAATTGTTTCATTTGGATAGGACTGTGGCGCGATTGTTTAGTCCAGTTTGATGGGTTACAAATTGCGTATTATAGGTTTAACTTTTTTCTGACATATTATTTTTAGAGGAAATTGTGCCCAAATTTTTTAAGTTTTATTTGGCCTAGGTTAATTTAAATAAAATGGACAAAAAATCAAGAAATGAACCACACAATAGTAATATTTGAGTATTTTAAGCAATTTGAGCCTCGTTTAAGGGGTTGAACTTTTATTTATTCATTGCTTTCCAATGTTGTGGGGGACACAGGTGATTGAAATTTGTCCCCAATTGTATATTTTTCGTTGGAACTCTTCCCAATTTTTTATTTTTAACAATCAAGGCTTGCAAGGGATTGTGACTTGGCTTGGTCTCCAACTGACGCCTTAGGGATTGAGTGAGCTTTTTGTGGAACATATTGGTCACAGCCTTTCTTTTCCATTCACTTAATGAAAACTGGGTCAATTCATTTATATGTTTTCTTTTTTTAGTTGATTCAGGTTTAGTTATTTAGTGTAGTGTAGTCATATGGACTTTGCATTTGTTCTTCTTCAACATATTGGGTCCAAATATTTAGAACTCTCCTTAAAAAGTTAAAAATATAAATTTAAATGAATTATCAAAGTTAAAAAATTTAAAAATACAAATTGAAACGATCTGAATACAGGAAACATAGGCTACTATGATAACCCCACAAACAATAAACTTACAAGCATAATCACTTCCATGATCAAGTAAAGCATAATGTAAAGCCCATTAAAACTAACGAATAGAAATGACAAGTGAGCAACACCGTAGACAGTCTAACCCGGTGGGTTAATCTTGTACTAGTCAAGCCACCAAATAAACTTTTCATGAGGGACAGGGGTTCAAATCAACCAATAGGACGGTTGTGCACAAGATTCAACATTGATACAATATATAAACAGAAAATACTGTAGTTATAAATTGGGGGAAAAAAAGCAGAGTAATCATTCTTCTGATAAATCTACCATAGATAACCTTTCTTCAATGAAGAGAAGAGTTTGTATCTGAGTTTAGTCCATTCAAGCTGCTATCTGAACAGGGTACTTGTGAATGCAATCTTCCCAAGGACTATTAGCAGATGGCTTCACATTCCTCAAAGCTTTCCACACTGCACTGTTACACTTGAACCCACTTCCGAAAGCAATCTGCCATACTCGGTTACCCTTTCGCATTCTCCCTTTCGCCTCCGTGTAGGCCAATTCATACCAAATTGAGCTCGAGCTTGTGTTCCCAAATCGATGCAGAGTCATCCGTGAAGCCTCGACGTGAAGTGGGAGGAGCTGCAAATTCTTCTCCAGTTCATCAATCACAGCTCTCCCACCGNAATCAAGAAATGAACCACACAATAGTAATATTTGAGTATTTTAAGCAATTTGAGCCTCGTATAAGGGGTTGGACTTTTATTTATTCATTGCTTTCCAATGTTGTGGGGGACACAGGTGATTGAAATTTGTCCCCAATTGTATATTTTTCGTTGGAACTCTTCCCGATTTTTTATTTTTAACAATCAAGGCTTGCAAGGGATTGTGGCTTGGCTTGGTCTCCAACTGACGCCTTAGGGATTGACTGAGCTTTTTGTGGAACATATTGGTCACAGCCTTTCTTTTCCATTCACTTAATGAAAACTGGGTCAATTCATTTGTGTTGTTAATGGAATTCATTTATATGTTTTCTTTTTTTAGTTGATTCAGGTTTAGTTATTTAGTGTAGTGTAGTCATGTGGACTTTGCATTTGTTCTTCTTCAACATATTGGGTCCAAATATTTAGAACTCTCCTTAAAAAGTTAAAAATATAAATTTAAATGAATTATCAAAGTTAAAAAATTTAAAAATACAAATTGAAACGATCTGAATACAGGAAACATAGGCTACTATGATAACCCCACAAACAATAAACTTACAAACATAATCACTTCCATGATCAAGTAAAGCATAATTTAAAGCCCATTAAAACTAACGAATAGAAATGACAAGTGAGCAACACCGTAGACAGTCTAACCCAGTGGGTTAATCTTGTACTAGTCTAGCCACCAAATAAACTTTTCATGAGGGACAGGGGTTCAAATCAACCAATAGGACGGTTGTGCACAAGATTCAACATTGATACAATATATAAACAGAAAATACTGTAGTTATAAATTGGGGGAAAAAAAGCAGAGTAATCATTCTTCTGATAAATCTACCATAGATAACCTTTCTTCAATGAAGAGAAGAGTTTGTATCTGAGTTTAGTCCATTCAAGCTGCTATCTGAACAGGGTACTTGTGAATGCAATCTTCCCAAGGACTATTAGCAGATGGCTTCACATTCCTCAAAGCTTTCCACACTGCACTGTTACACTTGAACCCACTTCCGAAAGCAATCTGCCATACTCGGTTACCCTTTCTCATTCTCCCTTTCGCCTCCGTGTAGGCCAATTCATACCAAATTGAGCTCGAGCTTGTGTTCCCAAATCGATGCAGAGTCATCCGTGAAGCCTCGACGTGAAGTGGGAGGAGCTGCAAATTCTTCTCCAGTTCATCAATCACAGCTCTCCCACCGGCGTGGATGCAGAAATGATCAAAAGCTAGCTTGAAATCTGGGATATAAGGCTTGATTTTCGAATCAAACAGTTTTCTTGTAACAAGGGTGGCAAAGAAAAGGAGTTGTTCACTGATTGGAAGAACTAGAGGACCCATTGTTGTGATATTAGTCCTCAGAGCACCACCGGCGATCGCCATAAGATCCTTGGAGAGAGAAACTCCGGTTTTTCCATTGTCATCTTGCTCCTGATACACGCACTGGAAGGCCTTATCATCAGCTCCTTTATGGGTTCTCACAATATGAACAAGTTTGTACTTTGCCCTCCACCTGTCTGACAAAATGTTTGACAGCAAAACCGCAGCCCCACCAACTCGGAACAGGCAATTGGGTATCAACATCGATTTCTTGTTCCCAAAATACCAATTTTGAGTGATGTTCTCAGTGCTGACAACAACAGCATATGAATTCCTATGAACTTGCAACATATCTCTAGCTAAATCTAAGGCAATCACTCCAGCACTACATCCCATACCCCCCAAATTGAAGCTCCGAATGTTTCGTCTCAGCTTGTATTTGTTCACAATCATGGCTGAAAGCGAAGGAGTTGGATTGAATAAACTGCAGTTAACCACAAGAATGCCAATGTCTTTGGGCTTGATTTTAGTGATCTTGAACAAGTTATCCAAGGCACCAAACATGACCTCCTCTGCCTCTCTCCGAGCAGCCTCCATTGATGGCGTCGGAGGAATGTGGTGCATCGCTTCAGGGACATAGGTCTCTTCTCCGAGGCCGGCGCGTTCAAGGATCTTGCGCTGGAACTCAAGTGAAGACTCGTCGAAGTCACCAGTGAGTCTCGAGTGTTCCATGAACCGGTCGAACTTGACTTGGAGGTGGTCCGGCGGGCGATAACAGGCGTAATCGACTAGGTAAACGGATCTGGGTCGAGTCATGATGTAGATTGTGGATCCCAGAACCAGTACGGTTGAGAAGATGATGATGCTAAAAAGGTTGTACTTAAGACGGAGATAGAGATTGTTAATGTCGCTGTAGTTCATTTGTGAAGCTTGGATGAGAGTGATAGCTACGAGGGGGACAAGACAGAGAGTCAAAAGGTGAGTTATTAAGTAGTGATAGCCTAATTTCACGTACTTTAGATTAACACTTTGGATGAAATATGGGAGTACTCTTCTGGGTTTGTTCTGAACACCATAGGAGGTGGCAGGTTGGGAAGTAATGTTACTCATCTGGCTCAATGGGTTTTTCTTGAATGGGCGTGTATACACAGTGGATTGGAGTGCAGGGCTATATCTATATATATATATAGAGAGAGAGAGAGAGAGAGAGAGAAGACGGATCTGGAAGGGGAAGTTGGAGGGGTTTGGAAACTGGGAAGGGTAGATGCAACTACAAACAATCAATCCATATAGGGGTTGTACGAAATTTTATTGAATCAGTGAGAGAGATGAGTGAGCAACGAGAGGTCTCTCTCTCTCTCTCTCTCTCGGGGAGATGGAGAACAGGAGAAGAACGGAAGAAAGGATTGGAAGAACGCTTGAAAATGGGCAGAATGAAGGAGTCTTCTCTTTCGTGGTATAAAACACAAACTAAGGTATGTGCATATAAATAACACAAAGAAAGTCCACTCTTTTCGTTCATGTGGTTTTCACTCACGTCAACTTCACTTTTATTTTTAATTATTTTGAAAGACCCATCAGTTTCGGGAATTGAAATATTACCCCTACAAGTTTTTCCTAAAAAGTATACACACTTCTTGTTTTTTTTTTCTCTTTTAGAAGATCAATCTACAGATGAGGGAGACAGTATACTAGAAATAAACAGCTGCGATTGGTTATTTGTGGGGGGTTTTGTTCTTTTTTTTGAAAGGCTGGGTAACAGCAACAAAATAAGTTTGAATTTTGACAATTTTTTAATGTTAGATCAAGAGGTTATTCCTTGTGAATATCTTAGTTCATACGTAAATATTTTGTCTTGGGAAGATGATTCATTTGAGGTTGAGGTATTTGTAAATTTGACCCGACATAACGTTAAGCAAAAATAGAAGGAGGTTGGGGGGGGGGGGGGGTTAATTAGTANGTTGTGTTTTGAGTTGTAAATTGGTGGAGGTGGAGGTGGAGGTGGAGGTGATGAGCGGCAACGGTGACAAAATCTTTCATAGTTGCCCCAATAGCTTTAGGGTAGAAAAGAGTGACTTCAATAGGTGTCTTTTGGATTTTTTTTTCTATGGATATCATGAGATAAAAATGGGTTATTTCAAGGGCAAAACGGACAAATCATTGATTAAATTTGTCCATATAAGTAAAAGCTATTTGTCCCTTAAACGGCTATTAAGTGATGGGGAAATTTGTTACAAATTGTCCCATCAAAAGGGGTGTTAATGATATTTCACTAACAAGAAGGGGTGCAGTGAAAATTTCAAAAACTATGAGGGGGTATGATGTAATTTTCCCTTCATTTAATGTTTGCATGTGCTAAGGTTGTTTCATAGCTTTATGGCCAGCCCTTTTTGTCCTTATACTTTTTTTTTTTCAATGATTAATGTGTCTAGATCAATTTACGTGCACTTCAATTAGTTTGTTTTTCAGTTTGGTTAAAGGTTGGGTCATCTATCTCAAAATTAGAGAATTTATGAAAAATAAATCTCTCATAATCTGATCCCAAAAATTTACTAAGATTTAAATTCAAAACGTATGAATTTATAACTTTTTCACGTTACCTTGGCCTTAGACTTCACCCTATTAAGAAAGNCTATTTTTTTTGGTTAAAAAAATATATTTTTATTAGTAATTTACTATTTTTGTGGATATTTTTACTGTATTTATGAATGTTTTTACCAATGTTATGGTAATTATTTTTATCATTTTTTTAGTAGCACAACAGTAATAAAAACACTCATAAATATGGTAAATATAGGTATTATGTAGTTAACTCCTAACTATAAACTTGATTTTCATTTTGTTGTTTGAGCTATTAAANTAGTTGTTATGTCAATATCATTGAAAGAAATATGAAACCTTATAATAGCGAACAAGACAACTCATGTGCAGGTGGTAGAAGTGAATTGATACTATCAACTACCACTGCATAACTCTAAAATATTCTATATGGTTTCCTTTGTATAGTCATGTAGAGTAGACTTTCACCCAAAAAAAAAAAAAAACCTTGTATTGTTAAATCCTAATTTGTGGGAGAAAGTTGGCATTCTCTTTCCCAAGTTATAGATCACATTTTTNTCAGGACAAAATAATATATATATATATAATAATTTAGATGGTAAAAGATAATAAAGCTTTTGTTAAATTTATAACAGACGTTAATAAATAAGGCTATATAAAACTAATCNAACCTTGTATTGTTAAATCCTAATTTGTGGGAGAAAGTTGGCATTCTCTTTCCCAAGTTATAGATCACATTTTTTTTTTGCGGAGGAGGTAGAGAGAGGGAGGGAAGGAGGGGGATTTAAACCTTTGACCTCAATAATACAAAGTCTTTATAAATGAGTACTATTAGATAAAAGGCCCGTTCGTATGTTATAGATCACATGGAACGACATCGATAGTGCAAAAATGATAAAATTTAAAAATATTTGAGAGAGGAAGAGTCATATTATATGCATCAAGATAAGTATTCACTCAGTAAAGTTAATAAAAATTAAATATAAAAAATTAAATTTTATGTACAATTATTTGGAAANATTGTGTTTTGAGTTGTAAATTGGTGGAGGTGGAGGTGGAGGTGATGAGCGGCAACGGTAACAACATCTTTCATAGTTGCCACAATAGCTTTAGGGTAGAAAAGAGTGACTTCAATAGGTGTCTTTTGGATTTTTTTTTTCTATGGATATCATGAGACAAAAATGGGTTATTTCAAGGGCAAAACGGACAAATCATTGATTAAATTTGTCCATATAAGTAAAAGCTATTTGTCCCTTAAACGGCTATTAAGTGATGGGGAAATTTGTTACAAATTGTCCCATCAANGGATAGTAATTATACGTTATAACTATCATTATATTTTGATATGTATCCTCATGTATAAGTCAATACTTTTCAAACAAAAAATTAAGTAATAATAAGCAAGTATATAAGTAGTAAGAATGCGAATTCGCAAATTCACGGAGAATTCACTCTAAAAGTGTGAATTTGTGTGCCGAATGTTGAAGCATTCAGTTGTTTTTGAAGGATTATATAGGTATTTGCTATGGATTTNATCAAAAACTATGAGGGGGTATGATGTAATTTTCCCTTCATTTAATGTTTGCATGTGCTAAGGTTGTTTCATAGCTTTATGGCCGGCCCTTCTTGTCCTTATACTTTTTTTTTTCAATGATTAATGTGTCTAGATCAATTTACGTGCACCTCAATTAGTTTGTTTTTCAGTTTGGTTAAAGGTTGGGTCATCTATCTNGGATTAACTAGCTTTTTTTATTTTATTTGGTCAAACACTATTATATGAAAGGGGACGACGAGGTTCGAACCTTGACCTAAGTTCAAGAGCGGAAATAAAAGTCATTAGACCAATCGCTAAACTCAAATCAATCAGCTTTTGAATAAGCAAATTTACCATCATAAAGTTTAACAAATTTCAAAAATAAAATTGATAGAAATTTTTTTAAGAAAAAATTGAAAACCAACCCTCCCTCTCATTCCCTATAGCCAAATTTTAATATCATATTTCANCAGTTGTTATGTCAATATCATTGAAAGAAATATGAAACCTTATAATAGCGAACAAGACAACTCATGCGCAGGTGGTAGAAGTGAATTGATGCTATCAACTACCACTGCATAACTCTAAAATATTCTATATGGTTTCCTTTGTATAGTCATGTAGAGTAGACTTTCACCCAAAAAAAAAAAAACCTTGTATTGTCAAATCCTAATTTGTGGGAGAAAGTTGGCAATCTCTTTCCCACGTTGTAGATCACATTTTTTTTTTGCGGAGGAGGTAGAGGGAGAGAAGGAGGGGGATTTAAACGTTTGACTTCAATAATACAAAGTCTTTATAAAGGAGTACTATTAGATAAAAGGCCCGTTCGTATATTATAGATCACATGGAACGACATCGGTAATGCAAAAATGATAAAATTTAAAAATATTTGAGAGTGGAAGAGTCATATTATATGCATCAAGATAAGTATTCACTCATTAAAGTTAATAAAAATTAAATATAAAAAATTAAATTTTATGTACAATTATTTGGAAAAATATTTAAATTTTAAAAATATATTGATTATAAGATCATGAGATAGTAATTATAGGTTAAAACTATCATTATATTTTGATATGTATCCTTATGTATAAGTCAATACTTTTCAAACAAAAAATTAAGTAATAATAAGCAAGCATATAAGTAGTAAGAGTATGAATTCGCAAATTCACATAGAATTCACTCTAAAAGTGTGAATTTGTGTGCGGAATGTTGAAGCATTCAGTTGTTTTTGAAGGATTATATAGGTATTTGCTATGGATTTAGTACACTTTCTCTATGCCATTTTGTAAAATACATTTAGTCCCGTAGGGTCTAAGATTAACTAGCTTTTTTTTTTTTAATTGGTCAAACACTATTATATGAAAGGGGACGACGAGGTTCGAACCCTGACCTAAGTTCAAGAGCGAAAATAAAAGTCATTAGGCCAATCGTTAAACTCAAATCAATCAGCTTTTGAATAAGCAAATTTACCATCATAAAGTTTAACAAATTTCGAAAATAAAATTGATAGAAAATTTTTTTAAGAAAAAATTGAAAACCAACCCTCCCTCTCATTCCCTATAGCCAAATTTTAATATCATATTTCATTCTTTTCTTTTTTCTCTCCGTGTTTTTTCAAAAAGAACAAGATAAACAAAAGAGCGGACAAAAAATTAAAATTTTTTTTTTTTACTTTTCCATTCAAATAATCGATAAATCCAATCAAATTTTTATTAGGACAATTAATTCCCACGTTTGTGAAATTGTTACAAGTTAGTTGAACACTATAGTTTGTTGCAATTTTATTATTTCTTATGGAAACATCAAGTAGTTCTTAAATTCTTTATAATTATAGAGGTACAAATGGTTACCATCAAATGTTTTTGATTTGTAAAATATTCAATAATGAACTTCAATTCATCATTTTTATTCAAAATTGCATAGCCAAAGTAGAAGCAAATTCATTTTTCTTTCTTTTTTTTTTCTTGGTGTTGAGGACAAGTCATTTGTCCCATCATCAAAACTTTTTGTTTTCATTTTGTTATTATTAAACTCCCNCTTGGTGTTGAGGAGGAGTCATTTGTCCCATCATCAAAACTTTTTGTTTTCATTTTGTTATTATTAAACTCCCGCCCTTTCCACACAAGCTTCAAGAAAGAATTTTTTTTTTTTCTTTTTTGGAATAAAGCAATCAATATATTCGTAAGTTTTAAACCATTGAAGTATCGGGGTAATTCAAGGTCAACGGTTGGTTTAATAGTCACCACTTTTATTATTGAATTTTAAGGTCGTGTGTTTAAACTTTATCCTCCCCAGTCCTATACTAATATTTGACAAAAAAAAAGAAGAAAGGTTTAAGGTAGTTCAAATCATTAGGTTGACTATGCATAATGAATTTTGTAATTTTAGTCATTTATGTGGGAAGACTTATTTAGTTGTGCTATAATTTATTGATTTTTCTTATAATTNTTGGTTTAATAGTCACCACTTTTATTATTGAATATTAAGGTCGTGTGTTTAAACTTTATCCTCTCCAGTCCTATACTAATATTTGACAAAAAAAAAAGTTTAAGGTAGTTCAAATCATTAGGTTGACTATGCATAATGAATTTTGTAATTTTAGTCAATTTATGTGGGAAGACTTATTTAGTTGTGCTATAATTTATTGATTTTTCTTATAATTACATGTTTTTGAAATTATAATCTACATGGGAAAAGAGAAATGATAATAAAATAAAGATAAATATAAGGTTTAATTATTCTCATAAAAGTTTGATATAATCTAATGATTGTCATGACTAGTATTAATTTCAACTCAACTCAATAAAGACTTATCTCAAAATATTTGAAAACACACATATCAATTTTGGTTTTATTAATTTCTATGGAAACCAATACAAACTNGATAAATATAAGGTTTAATTATTCTCATAAAAGTTTGATATAATCTAATGATTGTCATCATGAGTAGTATTAATTTCAACTCAACTCAATAAAGACTTATCTCAAAATATTTGAAAACACACATATCAATTTTGGTTTTATTAATTTCTATGGAAACCAATACAAACTGGACACGTAGCCAATATTACACGGCCCAAATTCTAATGGTAACACTAGATAAAATGTTACCAGCATGATAAATTATAGTTTGACCCTCTTAACTATAAGGACTTGACTATGGTGCTGAAGAAAAAAATTGGTACTGTAATTCCAATTTTTACTATTTTAGTGAGTGCTTTTATAATTTTTGTGAGTTATTTTAAAACAAAAAAAATTACCATACGGGTGATTTATCACTTTTATAAGTATTTTTACCATTCTTGTTGGCGTTATTACCACATTTGTGACAACTATTTTTATTATTTTTTTTTGGTTAAAAAAATATATTTTTATTAGTAATTTACTATATTTGTGGGTATTTTTATTGTATTTATGAATGTTTTTACCAGTGTTATGGTAATTATTTTTATCATTTTTTTAGTAGCACAACAGTAATAAAAACACTCATAAATATGGTAAATATAGGTATAATGTAGTTAACTCCTAACTATAAACTTGATTTTCATTTTGTTGTTTGAGCTATTAAACTTTTTACATTATTCCCTCAAATAATTGAATTATTTCATATTATCTCAAATGAAAACATTTACAATCTTTTGGGACGAAAATTATTAATATGCCAGGACAAAATAATATATATATATATAATAATTTAGATGGTAAAAGATAAAAAAGCTTTTGTTAAATTTATAACAGACGTTAATAAATAAGGCTATATAAAACTAATCACATAGTTAAAGGTATAATAAAAAAAAACAAGGTTTTTAACAGTTTACATTCTAAAAGTTATCTTAATTTTTACTATACACCTTGAATGATTATTTTTTTTATATTATATCTTGAATGTCATAAATTGGTTCCAATTTGATTCTCGGATTGACATCCGTTTTAAATTCTGTTAAAATTTGATGAACATGTCACTCATGTGTGTTATTTTTGGGCAAAAATAATTTATATTCTTGGATGGGATGTGCATAAATTTTTAACGATATTTAAAACGAATGTTAGTTCGAGAATCACATTAAAATTAATTTATGATATTTAGTGTGTAAAGCGAAAAAAATAACTTTTTGAGATGTAAATTAGAAATAGAGAAATTTTCCCCAAAAAAAAAAAAACATGATAGTTGAGACTAGAGAGGATAATATAAAAAAGTTATAGTTGAGATTGACCCTTAACTGAACCGCCTTGTCTCGTTAATTCAGTCTTCATGCACACCAGGCCAAGTAGTTCGTCAAGTCCGACCTCTTTGGCGCTCTATCTTTCATTTTCTCTCTCTCTCTCTCTCTCTCTCATCGTCATCTAAGGTAAGCTGACATCTCGTAATTTCGGTCGAATTTTCAACTAATTTCAATTCGTCTTAATTGAACTTGCTTCTATGTTGCCTTTTTTGGTTATCCTAAATCGAATGATATGATGTTTATTTATTCTTGTATTGCATACTTGAGAGTTTAAATTTGTATAAAATCGAAAATCGAAACCCTAGGTCACTTAAGCTTATCAATCGCGAACAGTGTTGATTTTAGGCTTTTTCCCCACGATTCTTAATTGTGATTACTACGGATGAATTTGCTTTTCATGAGGGTTTGATGAATGTCTGGGTTAATGTACACACACGCACACACATATAGATTCTAGTTATGCAATATACTTGTATTAATGCTTAAATTCTTGTTCGGTATTACTCGTTACACTGTAGTGATTCATGGTAAAGTAACCATTGCAAATAATGTGGTGAAATAAGTGAAGGAGCTCATATGAATAAGAAGTAACCATGATGAAGAATTTTTGATAATTCCATACTGAGTAATATATTCAGCACTGTAGCTTTTTTGGGAATTCAGGGGTCATCTGACTTTATATCAAACATGAAACAGAGGGAAATAGTGGATAAATAGGGAATAAGTTAAGTGATTCATAGCAAAAACTGTTGGGATTAAATTCAGATTTTGCTAAGAATGTGTGAATTCCTAGTAATATTATGGATCTTTAGAATGATTTGAGTGTAAAGGGACGGATCGATATTTGCTTGCCACCATTAGAATCATAATGATTAGGTTGTCCTCCATTGGTTTATACAAATTAGTTTTCTGATCAACAACATTGCGCATGTAGGTCGATGACTTTAATCAACTTTTATATTTGTTCTATATACTTCAACCTCATAATCCTTGATTTTTTTAGAGTAGTATTCTCGGATGTTTTAGATATTCACAAAATTGTGGTGGGATTGCAACTAGGTTGTGTTTGACAACATGGAATTACGGTTGTAATTGGGAATTAAGATGTAGGTAGAAATTTAAGTCGGTTTTCTTCTGATTTCAACGAGTTAATCTTAGGATCATAACACGGTAGGGGGACCCAATATTTTGCTTATTCCCATTAAGACTCCTCATAATTCTTTTTTATTTTTTAATTATGAACAGAGATACCCTATAATGACTTGACAGTTAGGCCTTTTATCTTCTATTGGCCTTAAAAAGAAATACATTACCAATGATTGGCTCAGAGGAGTCATTCCTTGAGTGTTGTCTTTATTTAGTGAGCTTGATGGGGATTGGAGATGATGAGATATGGTGTAGGGGGATGAAGAACAGAGATCTTTGGCTAAGGCAATCTATTGTTTTGCTGTTTCTGAAGAAGACTGGTGTTTATTTATTTATTTGGGAGGGAGGGGGGGGGGGGGGGGTGG